GTGAAAAATATATTGTTTATTATTTTTGTTGCGAAAGTTGTATTGAAAATTATATTATTAAAAATTTGGGCTATTTTTTAATACATCCTTTCCAACTCACTCTCTCTCTCTCATTAAATATCATAAATCCTTAAAAACAAAATTCTCACCAAAAATACATGAGAAAAAATTTCAAATATATTAAAAACTCATAAGAAATACATAAAAATTAGTATAACATCTGTATATAAAACTAAAATATTGTATACGAAAGTGAATGTAAATTGTGTGAGAAATACATTTAAATTATTGTATTATTATATATGAAAATATAATAAATAGTTGAGAAAATGTGTTCCCATTTTGTGTACTGATATTTAACATAGTTTTGGTTTCAAAATTACATACAGTATATATAAAATATATTACTGTATGGATAGTGAGAGTGAGATTTAAACAGCGAAAATATATACATGTATGTATAGAATTTTCTACCTTTTTATTTAGTCAATAGTGAGATATAATAATAAAAATAAATATATTCCCACTTTTGAATACAAGAAATTGAATATAAATTGGTTGGCAAACAATGACTTACTATTATATACTATATTATATTAAATACACAGTTGAATATTTTAAAGTACCATGCGCATAACAATATTTATTATTTTTACTAAATTACTATTTTAATTTAAAAAGCAATTGAAATATAGAGAGAGATAGTGAGTTGGAAAGGATGTATTAAAAAATAGCCCAAATTTTTAATAATATAATTTTCAATACAACTTTCGCAACAAAAATAATAAACAATATATTTTTCACTAAAAGTGAAGTTTAAGTTTTGAAATTTTTTGAAAATCACTTTATTTTCTTATATGTATGATATATGTCTACTATTGTATGATATATTAGAGGGTCGGACACAACAGGTATATTATATACCTGAGCGCACATAATGATGGGGACAGTTGTGTATCCATATATGGACACTGACCACAACCAGAGCACCGGTATGTGTGTCTAAATAGCGTAGAAAATTGAATATTGTTTCCTTATCTCTCTCTCTCTCTCTCTCTCTCTCTCTCTCTCCATTCAATAATAGATCCGTAAAAATAATGTTAACTCCAAATACCAGTAATAATGTGTTAATAAAAGGCCGACAAATAATAATAACAACAATCCATAAGTTATAAGTGAAATGAAAGTTAGGGCACAGGGAGGAGGACGAGGATAACCTGGCGCTCAGGCATTCAAATTATGCCGCAATGCTATGCACTTGTACTCAAATCTCTGGGCCATTGCATTACACACTCACTGGCATTGAAATCAAAAGTAATATACAATTAATAAAAACAGATATCATTTAAATTTCAAATGTATATAAAAAACAAATCAATAAATTTATCGCTGATTTATTGGCAGCAAAAAACATCACAAATTCAAACTTCAAGAAATAACATTACACTTTAAGGTCCTGTAAATTTAATGATGGTCATATATCTATAGAATAACATTGTGAACCAGGGCTATTTGTCAATACACCCGTGGTCACCACCAGCAAAAAATACCCTAGCTATAATAGCCGATAGTACTAGTGCTACAATAAAAATGCAATTCAAAAATACACAATACATTACAATGTATTGAGTGAATGGTAAGTCTTATTATAAGGAGTGGGCAGTTGTATAGCGCCGGGTATACTGTAGTAATAGTAGTAGTGATGGATATGTGATGGGGGTATGGGGTGTGCGAGGGGTCGGGTAGTGTGTGGGGGCAGGCATTGGGAATACTCACAGCCACTTAAACTAATTTCAATGGGCTTTTGTGTGAGTTTTTTGTGTATGAATTGCTCTCTCTCTCTCTCTCTCTCTCTCTCTCTCTCTCTCGCTATTCACATACACAATAGGTCTTCAATAATGCAATCACTTTCTTATCTCTCACTTCAAACATCACTTTTATATGTCGTACACAATAGAGTAGAGAAGAAATAGTGTATATATAATAAAAAACATAACCAATAAATAGACAATACACGAGAGAGAGAGAGAGAGAGAGAGAGATTTTAAGGTAAGAAATAAATATTTATCTTAACGTAAAAAACAAAACAAAATTAAAAAGTATTTTGAGTACATTTAAAGTGCAAAGAGAGTACTCACCAAAGCTATTGACTCCTCTGAACTAATAATGGATATAAAAAGTCCAAAACTCATTCCCTGTAAGCCCTGTAACAAAATGATGGCAAACGCGTCTACAACTGATCCCTTCAACGGAATATCAAACAAAATAAATGAGAAAATCATGAGAAGAATAGATTTTGCGATCACACAAAACAATAGCATAATTATGTGTGCGATTAGTATTTCGGCCGAATTAACGCCGGCGACCAGTGCTCTGTCCAGATGGCCGTCCTTTCGCTCGATCACAATCAGTAGCGACGAGAATAGCATTGTTGTGACGTGTATTGTGGCGATTATAACGCCCGGCGCCGTAAACTCATAGATTGATGAATTCATAGCGCCATAAACTGGTTGTTGTATAGAAAATGGTAAGGAATACGCGCTGGGGTTGAAGCCCAGGGACGACATGTATTGGTGTAAAAACCTTTGGGAACTTTGCAACAGCGAGTGGTGAACGAAAGGACTGACCGCTGTGTTGGTCATATCGGCGTACAGTTTGACGTGACTCTCATCGAGCTCTTCGTCCGTCAGTTCGTACGGGTTCTCAATTCTGGCCTCAAAGCTATCGCTAAAATTATGTGAGAATAGTATGGCGTAAAGTGCTTTTCCACTCTTCACGGATTCGATGGCCTTCTCTTTGTCTGTGTAATAGTCTTCGCGAATCATTTGCCTATCGATATGCTCTAAGAACTGATGCGATAAGTGATTATCAAAGTCGGGTTCGTGTATAGCAATGGGAATGGCATTCAGACGACCTCCAGTGCACACACAGAACAATGTAATCTGTATTACGGGTAATAACAACAGCATAACCAATATTATGGGATTCCGAGAGATTCGTATTTGACTTCTCCAGAGAAGAGCTCTAATGTGTTTCAAATCAATCAATTTCTTCCGATCCGAACATAGATTTAGGCTATTTTTGGCCGTCTGTTCAATGGCTTGAGGTTTGGGTGTTTCGCATGACTCCACTCTTGTCTCGTGTTTTCTAGTGATGGATATCTGCAGAAACGCCTCCTCCAGTGTCCGGCACTCGTATTTTGTCAGGAGATCTCTAGGGTTTGACTGCACTAATAGTGAGCCCGACTGTATGTATGCAACATTGGATGCAGTGTTTGCTTCCTCCAGATAGTGTGTCGTTATCACAACTGTTGTCCCTATTTATGCAACAAGTCTTATGGTTTATATAAGATATTTAATTATTTTAAGAGAATTTTTATAAGTATTTTAATTATTAAATCAAGAATTTTTCTGTGATTTAATTTTCTTTGTCTAGAAATAAGTGTTTCTAAAATTAGTTCAAAAGTATTTTAATATTTGTTTTGTACAGTATTATAAAATTACAAAACAAGTAAAATTTCAATGTTAAAAATGTGCAGAAATTTGCACTAAAAATTCATATAAATGTGTGAAATAAAAAATCCCTGAACTTAACCTCAATTTAAAAATTATATAAATATTTATTTACATTTTCACTAAAAAATAAGAGCTATTATTATTTGGAGAAACTCTAATATCATAAGAATAATTCAATATTTACTCCAATTCAAGACAATTAAAACTATAATCACTTTTAAAATAATAAATGTGTTTATCTAACAATAAACATGTTATTGAGATAATCATTGAGACGTTTCAGAAGGACTTTTGTTTCAATGAAATGTATGACAAAATTTAAAAGAATTTATCTCACGTTTCATAAAAAAGATTATGTGATCTCTCTTTGAGATACTTATCACTAAATCTAATACTCGGCTTATATTATACCTATTTTTTAGAATTATTAATATAGTTATAACTTTATCACAAAATTGTATATTTAAATTTATACAATTATATTTTATAATACAGTATTCCTGTTGTTTTTAAATAAATTGTCAAACTGTCCATGTGTGTTTTTGATACCTATCCCATAAATTATTCAGCTTTGTTTATGGCCAGTTTTAAAGGCTCAAGGTTGTTTATCAATTGTCTAGTTTAATAAATACAACAAGAAATTGATCCAAAATATTAATGAACTGCAAAATAAAGCCAATGAATTCTATCTCATGATTGTATTCTCATTGAAATACATCTAACCTTCTCTTATGAAATACATGTATAGATAATCATCGTTTCAAAAGAGATTATACTATAGTAGAGATCCAAACGACAAAAACGACCAAAATTTCTTTGTCTTATCTAAAAATCACTTCAAACAGAATTGAAGGCAAAATTCTTTTACCGCTTTTTATTAATCTGACAAAACATAAGGCCTTTTATAAGTTATGCATTTATTTATTTTGAATATTATTATTGTTTTAAATCATATAACTTTAAATTAACCACAAATATAGGATTTTACATTTTATTATTGTATACACATATTGTACTGTATATTGATGTTTTATAAATTTAAACTTGATTAATCTAAAGAGTTAATCAATACAAGTCTTAGATAATCTGGGCAAATAACATACATGCAAAATTTAAGAACATGTTTGTATTGTTAAAGTAATATTTTCTACTTAACTCCCAAAATGATGTATTAATTCTTTAATACAAAATTATTTAAAAATATTGGAATAAATGAGTTATCATTAATACGATTGCTATCAATCATAATTTTATATAATAGGATTAACATTTCATAAAACTTGATAACTTAATAAAAACAAATACATATAAATTAAATTTAAAAATACAAATAAAAAACTTGACGTGGTCACTTACCATGATTTTTGCACATATCTTCTAAATATTCCCAAATACGACAGCGAAGCACAGAATCGACACCAACTGTGGGCTCGTCTAAGATAAGTAGCGGCGGTTTGTGAAACATCGTG